CTAATAAAAATGATTTTTTGTCTTCTATTTTTGCGATTTTAAATATGAATTCCATCTTTGATAAATAAACTTCCATATTGCACTCCTTTATATTATATTTCTCCATTTGAAACGACTGCGCCATTATAGTGATACCAAATTTTATTATAATTTTAACTCTTTTATATTTTGTACCGCTGTATATATATCTTTTACAAAACAAACATTTAATCGACGTACACAATTAATAATATATATATTTAAAATTCATCATATATTTAATTGCCTTTGAGGCTAATTGTTTCTATTACAATTATATTTACTTTTGAATATTAATTTCGACAGATAATTTAACAACGAGAATTTAAAAAAAATATGTTGGAAGTGGTTGATATGAATTAAAACTCGGCTTAAATTATTAATATTAAGACATAAAAAATAAAAAATAAATAAAAGTAATTTTATAATACAATAAAATATGTTTTTCTTTTTATTGATATTTTTTGAAAAAATATAAAGTAACGAGTAAAGTAACGTTTTGCATTACCGTTACTCAAAAAAGTAACGTCGTTAAAAAAGTAAGTCGTTAGTAACGACGTTTTTTTTGACGTTACTTCACAGCACGAGATTTAACCGATTGCCGATTCGAAACCGGCCGATGCCAAATGCTGCATCTGGTGATATTTATTGAAACGTTTATTTTTGTTGTAGGCAGCTCTAATTGCATATTAAAAATTATCCTAAAAAATATTTTAAAAATATTGTGATTTGACCGATAACCGAAATCTTGCATTGCTGGCATTATTCATGTAAAAATATTTATTTTTTTTATATGCGTATATCTACATGTTATGTCTCAAAAATACTTTAAAAATATTGTGAATTTGACCTAATGCCGAATTCAAAACTGACCGCTTATTAAATATTCGATTGAGCAAATTTTCTAGTAATATCAATTGAAAAATGTTCATTTTTGTTTAATATCTCAATATACGTGTAAATAATTATCTCAAAAATATTTCAAAAATACCGTGATTTGACCCATAACCAGCTCCCTACCAAATTACTATATACTGCATTGCTAGCGTTATCCATGGAAATTTTCATTTTTGTATTATATGCGTATATTTACGTGTTAAGCATTATTCCATAAGATAATTTAAAAATTGTGATTTGACCGATTGCCGAACTCAAAACCGACCGCTTACTGATAATCGAATGACATAAATTTTTAGTAATATGAATTGAAAAATGTTCATTTTTGTTTTATATCTATAATTACGTGTAAAATATTATCAAAATATATTTTAAATATTTGACTTTAAACGGATTTGAATCAAATTTATAAAATAATTTCTAGAATATATTTAACAGGTAAATATACTTGTATAAAGCAAAAGTGTATATTTTTCCATGGATAACTTCAGCAATGCATTATCCAGTTGGGCCGGTTATTAGTCTGAAGCCCAGCTTTTTGAAGCCCGTGTTCGAATTTAAAAAAAATTTTTTGTCCCCGTTCGACCCGAACTCGATTTAAAAAAATTTGCATTTGAGTTTAAATATTATAATACCTATAAGAAAAAATTAAAATATTTTGTATTTATTCATATTGCCTCCTTTAATAAGTATATTTAACCCCCATTTTTATAAATATATAAATCTGAGGATATTTAATTGAATAGATCAAAATGAAAATATTTCATAACTGTTAACAAATTAATATTTTAGATTTTATGTTGGCTAAATATAAAATATTAATACAGATTTTATGATAGAATATGATGTAAGTAATAGAATTTAGCTAGTCACAATATAAATCACAATCACAGGTAATTGTTAATTTGGTAAATGGAAATCGCGTAAATGAATAAGTGAAATGATCAAAAATGATATGTAATTGATTGACATTTCGACGAAGCATAATGATTATTGAAGATATTTAACATTTAATTTTCGTGCTTTCGAGAAAAAGTCTTTATTGTTCGAACTCGAGCTTCGTTTCGGACTTTGAACAGCTTGTGCATAGCACTAATCATTCACTATTGATTGTCATAGATTCATGCTATATATCCATTTGTTTTTCATATTTTAAATTCATATTAATAATCGAGTGAAATGTTTTGTTTAATATTTACGATTCGGTTGAATTTAATAAAATTTAGCTTTAATTTTATCATAAGAAATGGGATTAAATTTTTCTGGTATTGTAAGCGCTTTATTGATCTCTCTTTTAAAATTTTTTGATCTTTTCACATTCGTTCCATAATTTATGAGAAATTTATTCCTTAATAAAAAATTTATAAAAATTAGAAATCTTGTATATATTCTTAAGTATTAAAAATTAAATATCAATGCTATAATATTTTTAAATTAAGATGCCATGTTATAGCATCAAAATATAAATTTGATATTAGCGGCCAATATTTTAAAAAAAAGAGGAATAAGGGCAATTTCATGAACATCATTAGAAAGTATCGAATCCAAAACTTTAGCCTCCTATTACTAATTGTTTCTGAGATATCTATGGTCAAAAGTCACAATAATGACCTTTTTTTGAAAAATATTATTTTTAATAATTAAGATAAGTTGAAAAATAATGATGCTAAAAATAAGAATTATGAATTTTATATCATTTTGTAATTATATTAAAGGTCTTTTATTAAATATTAAGGATTTTTATAAAATAATAATCTTGCGGTTTTTATTTAAGTTATAAATTTTGAGCCTGAAAGTTCTTGGCGTTTCTCTTTTCAAATTTCTTTAAATTTAATTTTATTATCCACCTATATTATTATATGCAAAAAATTGAAACTTAGGACAGCCTTGGATTTTTTATTAATACGATTTTTTAAAAAGAATATTTTTTCAAAAATAGATGGCGCTTCTATATTTTTGACGCCTTGATAATTTCATTTTACAATTAATAAGTACGCCCAGTCGTCTTTGATGGGCTCACTGTTAAAATATAATATTTTTATATTAAAAGGAGATCTGGTATTGATAAACAAAAGAATGTGCTCGTCCTTTAGAGTGGAGAAAATTTATTTCTATTTGCATCTACCTTTTGCACAAATCCTAACCACCTATCGTTTTCTTACATACATGTCAATTATCCTCTAATTTCATCGATTAACAGATCCTCACATGGATTTACTATATTCTCCACAACAAACATCTGCTAATTGGAATTTAAGTATTGAGCTTTGTTAAACTGATTGGAAACACTAATGAATTTTTATATCACAGGTATTGAGATTTACTAATTTAGTCTTTCTCTTCTACAATAAGAAAAATTTATCTCGATTGCTAATTTTTATTTCTAAAATAACTTGATATTTTCGCTATCTCTTTTTCAATAAGTATTTTTTTATTAATAGTAGATATTCCAATTTCATTTAAAGTATTATTGATTTTGTATCTATTATTGTAGATGATGTGGTGATATTATTTATTTCATATTCGCTGTTATTTTTAGATTTTTTACTGTTAAACGCTTACGTCATTGATCAGAAATATAGTGTTTCCCGCCTTAATATTTGGAAATTGAGTCACCCATGTCATAACTTTTGGCAGATTCATTTTATAATTAAAGTGCTTAGATTCTTTAAAAAGGATTTGAGCATTTATATTTATACATCAATAATTTTATGAAAAAATATAATTAATATGGATGTACCGATTCGGATCGGGCTAATATTTCACCCATTTTAAAATATCGATTATCGGCCAATATTATAAAATTTTCCTATCCGATCCGATATAAAATAGCGTCTTTAACATCATAAAATTTAAAAAATAAGTTATATCTAAAATAATTTTTTTTTATAAATAAAATCAAAATTTATTTATATGTACATTTTTTAAATAATAAAAATTAATTAATAAACATTCTGCCATATTATTATTTTTTTGCACATTCTGTTTATAAAAGTGTGATAATCTCTTCAGAATCTGTTTTTAGTGAAGCTGGTGATATTGACAGTTACCATCACCGCAGGCTGACCTCTGGTAAATTGGAAAGTTTGGTATTTCTAAAAAGAAATCTTTGATATATTAATTAGTGATCTGCATCGGGCCTAATTTTTCAAGCCCGGCCCGGCCTGAAATTTTTTTTAAAAAAGTTTTGCCGGCCCGAACCCGAAATTTTTTTTAAAAAATTTACCGACCCGGCCCGGCCCCAATTTATTTAAATATAAAAATTATTTTTATAATTACTCAAAACATCTTTTTAGTAAATTTAATCCTTTATTACAAAAACAATAAATTTTTACAAGTTATCTATAATAATAATAAGTAAGTCTCTCATCGGCGACTTAAATAAGATTTTTATAATATTTTTACTCGAAAATCTTATTATTTATGTTTGAAAATGGAAAAATATCTTTAAAAAAATAAAATTTTAACAAAAATGCGTTATTTTATATAGAGCTCCATTTATTTTTGAAAAAAATATTTAATTATTTTTTTTATCGTAATAACTAATACATCCATGGCTGTCCAAGTTAAAAATTTCTTGCAAGTGGATATAATGTAAGTGAATAAAAAAATATTAAATTTAAATAAATTTGGAAAGCCAAACACCTGAAACTTTCAGGTTTAAAATTTATAACGTTAATAAAAACCGCTCCATTATAATTTTATAAAAATCTTTAATATTCACTATAAGGCTTTTAATATAGTTACAAAATAATATAAATTTTTTATTTTTCGAAAGAGTTATTTTTGGCCATTTTGACTATTAATATCTCAGGAACTATTAGTAATAAGAGGCTAAGATTTTGAATTCAGTGCTTTCTAATGGTGTTCTCTCAGTTTGCAAAATTTTATTAAAATAATCGAATTTGTATAGAATCATCCATAATCATCTCGACCCGATAAAAAATCTAATTAATTGTAATAATGCCTTTACAAAATTGGTGCTAATTTTTAAAAATCGGATTATTTTTTAGAAGGGGAAGGAGCCTCACCACCTAGCTAACGATACGCCTATTGATAAATATTTAAATATAAATATATTTAAGGTTTTTGATGACTATTCCTCAAAATCCAATAATACTCTAAAAGAACAAAATCAAAATATTAAAATTGACTCAATCCCTATTAAATGGACATGCGATGAACAAAAACTGCTAGAGAAAGGTATAAAAACAATATCCTTTAAAGATCATGATAGATGGCAAAAAATAGCCGAAATCGTTAAATCAAAAACTAAACTTGAGTGCATGATGCGTTACAAAGTTTATTAATTTTAATATATTTTTTACATTTTACCATCACAGGAATTAGCAGAAATAGTCAAAAAACGAAAAAATCCTATTTAAAGAGTCTAATTAAAAGTGGAAATGCTCAACATTTAATAATAAATATGATACTTGAATTATGCAAGTTATATATAAAATTATTTGTCAAAAAAATAGCCTTTTATATTATAAATTGATATTATATCATTAGATTTATTGTTTTCAATCAACTAGATACCTTTTTTGAGGACTTTAATTACTAGTTACATTTTGAAAAGCTCATTTAAAATTTTTATTTTATTATATCTAATTAAAGTTTTAAAATATTTTTATAAATGTATGTTAATCAAATTAAAGTTTATAATAAATCTTGTTTGAAATTATTTCTCGCAAATTTCGTAAATATCATTTTTATTTAATAAAAGATTTCCTTCAACACTTCTCCGCCTCCTCCCCCAAAATGAATTCAATATGTTATTATAAAACTTTTTTTAAAATAATGACTAAGAATTTGAGAAAAAAAAGGTGTTTTTTAAAATCATATTTAATTTTCTTAAAATAAATAAAACTAAAATTATATTTTTAAATATGTAATCCGGCCAGATTTCTTCAATACAAATAAATATCCAATAAAATTTGTGTTTGAAAAAGGACAGAAATCTTGAATATGCCAGTTTTATTGAATAGAATATTTATATATTGTAAATAAAATCTCCCTGACAATTTTTTTTATAATAAAATTAATATTTTACTTTGCATAATATATATATTATAATTTTATCTTATATTATTAATGACTGTTGGGGGGGGGGCACTCATTTTAAATTGAGAATATTAATGTTATAGTAGCAACCTCCTGTTCTTTTGGAAATGAGAACAAATCTTTTATCCAAATTTTAAGTCAAAGATCCCTCCCCGGCTCATATTTCTATTATGATCACTTATTAACGATACAATATACTATAGTATAAATGGCGTAACTAAATATGATATAATATGCATAATTAATAGGGAGATAATCGATAGTTTTGCAGAAATTTTGAGATAAATGATAAACAATTAAATTCTATAAGATTTTTTTTGAAAAACTGACTTCTAATTTGTACTTATTTATAAGCATGGAACTTTATTTCTGGGCTTGGACTTTCTCTTAATTTCATTATAAGATAACTGAAAAACTTTTATTAAAATATATAACATATTGACACAACAAATATTACAAAGATGTAACAAAAATTGGAAAACAAATAATTGCTAAACTAATAGCTAAACTTAATTTCGACAAATTCACAATAATTTTTAAATCTTTATTATCTTTGAAAAATAATCTATAATAAAAATCTTTTTTGAAAAGTCAAGAGAAATATAATAATGAATCAAAAAACTTCATTTTACATAAATCATAATAAAATGAAATGTCAATCACTAATGATTGATATTATATAAAAATATTCATATAAACAAAGAAATATCTTACCCACTAGGACATACCACCCCTTTATGGGCCAGTGACTCCCTACAAAAATTTAAATATACAAATATCTATAAGAATTATTGTTATATCCACATTTTACAACAAAATTTATAAATTTTCTTTATTTCTTAATATTCGAATTCTGGATTCCTCATTTTTACTCCCATATTTATATAATCTTGAGATTGATTTTAATAAAGATAGCAGAGTTGTTAAAAGATACTTTTTAAATGGATCTAGATACAGATACATCGTCTAAAATAATATCTAGATACCGATATTTTAATCAAAAATCTATCTAGATACAGATACCACATTTTTATATCTAGATCCTTTAACAACTCTGAAAGATAGTCATCAAGTAATCTTTGGCTTGATTTGAATAACAATAGTCATAAGGAAATCGTTGGCTTGAATTGAATAACGATAATCATCAGGTAATTGTTGGCTGGATCCATAGTTGGTAACGTTCATTGATAAAAAAAAATTTTTTTATTTTTATTTTAAACTACTGACTATCTACGTCAGAATTTTCCTGTTATCATTTTTTATTATTTCTTTTTTATCATGTTGAATGATATCAATTTAAATTATTTAAGGAATTTAAATTATTTAAGGAATTTAAAAAAAATCAATTATTACAATTAATAAATTTAAAAAAAAAACTTTGTAATAACAAATTAAATATAACTGACACAGGTTCAATTATATAAATAATAAAACTTTTTTTATCAACACATTTCAATATTCTCTTAACAATACTGATAAGATACATACAAAAAAATTCATAATTAACAACAAGTCATTAATGTCCCATTTTATATAAGTTTTTATTTTTTTAAAAATTTTACACATTGTTCAACAACAATGTCTCTTTGTATTAACAAAAAAAATATTTTTTTATCTATATCATAAACAGTCATTTTATCCGTGGTATACACAATTTAATTTTTTCTCAATGACCATTAATTTTAATAAATAACATATTATAATTATTTATCCATTTCAAATCTTTCCTTTTTATCCATATCAACCGTCATTTTATTATCAGTGGTACAAACAATTTAATTTTTTCTACCAACATGTTTTATATTAAAATTTTGCTATCCTTTTTGATGATTTCTTAATAAAAAAATTAAGCCACATTGATCTGGAAATAAATTTTTGACACATGTAGTCTGACTATTGTCTAATTTTGCATAAATTTTTACAGCTATATGAAAAAATGTGGTATTATTAACAAAACGAAATTCTTTGAAATTATAAGAATTAGTTTAACAAAACGAAATTCGTCAAAATTACAAGAATTAATTTAAGTTCTCTTTTGATTAACACATCATTAAGTTCTCTTTCGATTAACACATCAACTATTACTTATATAAAAGGGTTTAAGGACACCCTCGTTAAAATATCAGGTATCCAATCTATATGGGTTTAAGGACACCCTCGTTACAATATTAGGTATCACATCATTTTATATAAATGGGTTTAAGAACACCCTTCTTACAATATCAAATCTATTCCATTTCAATAATTATATACATGGGTTTAAGAGTACCCTCTTTATTTGATTATCAAATCATTAACAATTACTTATATCATTGGGTTTAAGAATACCTTCTATCGATATCAAATATATTACATTTCACCTAATGATATACCTGGTTTTAAGAATACCTTGGTTTCTTTGATCGTGGCCACGTTAGACCTACCTCTACGTTAGACCTACCTCTTTACGGGGCATAGGGGCACAGGTATTACAAGGAACGAATTTCCTTGTAATCCGTTCAATATCATTGCCCATACCAGGACACCATATATATTCCCGAACTCAAGATTTCATCTTGTCTCGACCTTGATGTCCTGCATGCAATAAATTCATAATTTTACTACGTAATTTACAAGGAATTACGGCCCTGTTTCCCCTCATAATACAATCATCAACAATTGACAATTCCTTTTGTATTTTTTTATAAGAATCATGTTTGTTTTTCCCCCGTTAAACTCTATTTTACCCGACTTAAATCCTTGTCGTTCAAAGTATTTGTTTTCAGATCCTCCCAAATGGTAGGACCTCTTTTTAAAATATATGACAGAGTACGCACTAAGGCCTCCTCTCTACCAATACTTATATTATCACTTCAGGATCTGCACAGCCAGAACCTAATCTAGACAAAATATCAGGCAAATGATTCTCTTTCCCTCTCCGATATTTAATTTCCACTTTAAAACTTCCTACCAATAACAATCAACTTTGCAAACGGGGAGATAACATTAACTCCCTATTATCCTTCTTGAATAAGTGGATTAAAAGCTTATGGTCGGTAAAAATTACAAATTTTTTACCAATCAAATATTCACGACATTTTGTCAAACCAAAAATAACAGCCAAGGCCTCCTTTTCAATCACAGAATACCTCGTTTCCACGTCTCGAAAAACTCTTGAGAAAAATAAAATTGGTCTTTCCATACCCTCAACTAAATGCAATAATGCCCCTCCAACCCCCTTGTTAGATGCATCCACTGCCAAGATTATTTCTAAATCGTAATTAAAACAGACCAAAATGGGTTTTAAATTTTTAATTTTATTTAAAAAACTGTTTAGAAATAAAATAAATAATATATACGATATTAAAATGAAATATATTTTTATGAACTAATAAAATAGTAAATAACAATTAAATATATATTGTAAATATATTTTTATTGTTTAATTAGTAGTGATGTTAAGGTAACTAGTTACATTTTGGCTAAAAAATAACTGTAACTAGTTATATTTTTAAAATTGTAATTAGTAACTGTAACTAGTTATAATTTTTGAAATGTAACTGCCAAAAGTAACTAGTTACTTTTAAAGATATATTCAAATAATTAATTTTATTTTTAATATGTTGTGATAAATTAATTTTTAATTAAATTTATTTTTTAAATTAAAATTTTGTGAAAATGTCTGATTGTTATAATTTCCGGTTCAAATTGATTTTCTTTTCTTAAATTGTTACATTGCTGCTGGGCTTCATAATTTTATAAGCAAATTCAAGTAATTTAATATATTTTAATATTATATTTATTTACAAGTAGCACAATATATTTTTTTCCGTCAAGTAACAAGCATTGGAACTTCATATCATACGTAATAAAAAAAATTTTAAATTTAGTAAAAGGAAAAACAAAGACAGATTATTTTAGAATTTAATATTGAATTATTAATCATTACTTACAAGAACCAAGTCTAACAAAATTATCATGTTATAGGTTTAATAATCTTTATGATAATGACAACATCATTTCTGCAATTCTTCACCCTTTATTTAAAACTGACTGGCCTTGGATTAGGCAAGAAAGGAATAAAGCAAAAAAGGAGGAAATTTTAAATTTAATAAATACCTTAATACCTCAAAGTGAATCCCAGACGAATGAATCATGCTCAAAACCAACATCACTGATGTAGTTGGATTTTTTGACCTAAAGCGCCAAAATATTCTGGATAATGAACTTATAGAAAACTTTATTAAATCTAATAACAACACTTTTTCTTTATATAATGATTTTCCAAAGTTAAATTACTCTTTATTAAATATAATGTTATTCTAACATCAAGTGCTCCCGTAGAGCGCTTGTTCAGTCTAGGTAAGCTCATTTTTGGAGATAAACGAGCACGTCTCCTAGATAATAACTTTGAAATTAATTTGTTGTTAAAAGCAAATAAACATTTATTAGATTCTAATTTTTATGAAAAATAAATGTTTTTTTTTCAATGCAAATATATATTTTTATATTCGATGTAAATATTCAATTTTGCGATATTTTTTTATATAAATAAATTGTATATTATTTTAAATAACTGATTATACTTTGTTTATCCTAATTTTTTTTATATTAAATAAATGCATTCAATAATTAAATAATGC